CTCTTTGATGTAGAAAGTCTTCATGAAGCTTGAGTGCCTAGCCCCAATAGTGTGGAAGCCTCAAATGGAATCACAATCATCAAAACACTTAGAATAACTTGAGAGAGTTCTACACTTCATGAAATCGGCTAGCCCTTTGTTACTCTCTCTAGTGGCCGATTTTTGTCAAGAATAATATCATTATATAGTGTTACAATTAGGGTAAATCCTTAATTGTCATGGCTTTCCATTTCCTTGGATCTATGGGTTCAAATACACCATGGAGCATCCATGGACCATCCTATGGGTTTTAGCCCAACTTGATTATCGATGGAGCATTAGCCCACTATATAAGTATAGATGATTTACACAATCAACCCATATATTTAATTAGTCTTCTTTTGATCACTTAATTAATCCTAGATTAATTCTTGATCAATACTAATTAAATAATCTTATTATTCTTATTATTAATATACTAGAACTTATAATATTTTAATAACCATAAGTGTCTTATTTCTCTCATTATAGTCTATCCAAGTGCATGATGGTATGCAACCCAAATGGACCATGCCGGGTCGGGTCAAGTCTTACCAATTATAGTTATGGACTTAGACATTAATCCAACATATATGACCCCTTATCTAAAGGATAGGTTGCTGATAAGATCAGAGTTCAACAGCGTCTTTGAGAGCAACGATTGCTAATTGGATTGTACTTGCATTTATAATTACTAGACTTATCCAAGTGGGAGACTGTTGGATTAGTGTCTAAGCCCGTAACCATATTTGGTAAGTGTTTGACCCAGTTGTGCATGGTGCTTTTGGGTTGCCATCACCAAAGCAACTTGACTGGAGAAATAATAAAGAAAGAGGTTATTATGGTTTATTAATATATTATAATAATAATATATTAAAAGATAAATCATATTTGTTTAATTAACATTGGTCAAGAATTTATTAAGAACTAACTTTGTGATCAAAAGAAGTTAATTAAACTAGGGTGACTGAATTGTAATTATGTGATAGTTGCCACATAGAGAAAAGGGTGCCCTATATGATAGGGTGAACGGATTTAAGGGAATAAGGCCTTAGAACTCATCCGTGAGAAGGTTTCTAGGGTTATCCTTTGGGCTTATTGGTGGCTAAGCAACCAGATAAGGAGAAGGACTAAAACCCCAATTACTACACCTATATAAAGACCCCTTGGCATAAGAAATTGATACCTATTGTTCCTAGAGCCGAATTTCATACCTCCCCCCTCTCTCTTGTCTCTCTAATTGCTCTTGGTGTTTGTGAGCCATTAGAGGTACTACACTTGTGGTACTTGCTTTCAAAGACAAGAAGATTCAAGATACAAGTTGTTATTACAACATAGCAACAAGAGGTATGTGTTCTATTCTTTTATGTGATTTTTGAATATACTAGAAGCATGATAGGTTTCTTTTTGTGTTCATAATGTTGTATAACTAATAGTGAAAACATAGATCCGGATCTATGGTTGCAGGCACACAAAGGGTTGTTTGTATAAAACCCATCGAGTACAAAATTCGAAAAGCAAGCATATTTCTCTTCGATATCACTTCATAAAAGATCATATAGATGATGGCAATATCGAAGTTCATTTTTTAAAGATAATTGATCAGCTTACTGATATCTTTACAAAACCTTTGGATGAAAAATCATTTGTTAGAATTTTGATAGGATTAGGAATGATCGAAGAAAGTTCAGTACAAAAGAATGTTTTGAAAGAATAATATCGTGAAGAAGATAGACAGTTGTCAAAAGTCAAAAGTTACTGTTCATAGTCAATGCTTCAACACGCTTCAATTTCAATATTTTGGTGAATTGCTCAAATGAACAACATTCCCAAGTTTGGTATTTTTTCTTTTTCGAAAAATCAAAAATCCAAAAAAGATTTTACTTTTGTTTTGTCTTTAAATTTTCGAAAAATCAAAAACCCAAAAACATTTTACTTTTGTTTTGTCTTTAAATTTTCGAAAAATCAAAAACACCAATAAGATTTTACTTTTGTTGAGTTTTTTTTTTCGACAAATCAAGAACAACAAAAATATTTTATTATTTGTTTGATATTGTTTTTCTAGTTGTTGATGATCCTTATTAGTTCATGCATGTAGTTCCAGGGTTAGGTATTCTTTCGAAAACTTTGAATTCGTTAGGTTGTACCTAGAAGCATGTTGCCGCATGTTGACCCAAGCCTCCATCGACTCAATGTGTGTTTTCGAAAGCCTTAATTAAATATTTAATTACAAAAAATTCTTCCAAATCAGGCTTATATTCACATTAGTCCATGGAGCTACCCTACTCTTCTCATATAAGTGAAGAGTTTACTGCTTTGTCCAACTATAGCAGAGGTACAATTCGATTCGAAAACCAATCTTTTTCGTCCCAAACTTCTAACACCATCACACACTATGACATATGTCCAAGAGATCTTTGATCAAACCAATCAAGATTTAGACATATCAAAACTTTGTGTTCATGATCTGGATTCCTGAGCCCGTGATAAAAGTGAAACCCATTTTCCATCTTTTTAAGGAATTGACGGGGAACTATATTCTATATTTTCACGAAACATTTGTTTCTGTACCGATTTTTTTTGATACTCCAAATCATATACTTTTCTTTTTAAGTGATCTTGATAAAATATTTGAAGCCCACGACATTTGTTTCCCAACAGGATTTATATAGATTTTTGTTTTATGAATATGATTTTCGTGTGAGTATTAATTCTTATCTTTTGTCACTTTAAAAATCATCCAAAGCTACTTGTCACTAACTAAACTGGTCAAACAAGTAATTTTTGTTACAATTACTCACATTTATGCTAAGTGGTGATATGTAACGAAATTTGAAACCACCCACAAAGCTTGTTCAAAAGAGGGCCTTCGATAATTTTCTACAAGTATTCGATTGTAATTCACGGGAAACCACACAAGTAGTTGATCATCTCTCTTGATGATTAATGAAGCAACCTTTGCCTGGGGTTTAACTGCCTTTATGTTGAAAATTTGTTTTTCGACATCACCTATCCAAATTTTTTCTGTTGTTTGCTTGTTATCTCATTTTTTGGTACACTGCACTCACGAAATCCTTGAGGTTCTGAGTATTACCAACTCAGACTGATGATTTCGAAAGTCTGGCATATGACTTTGCTTTTCATCCTAAAAGTGAAAGAGCCTTACTTCCATACCGAAGGTTTGTGATGGTTACTATTTCATTGGGGCATGTAAAAAGGCTGTTTGACAACACTCTTTGTATTCTTTCCGGGTTTCAAGGAGATATGATGGTTACTTTATCACACATGGCTAGTTTATCAGAATGAGGGTGCGATTTTCAAGTTGCCACGTTGGATTTCATTTAATGTTGATCCCACTTCACATTCAAATTCAAAGGTCACCTATAAAATGGGTTTCAAGGGTTCTTCATTCGGTTATGCTTTCTAAAAATTCCCAAATTACGAAAGAACTCGTTACTCATTCTTCAAGATTCAAACCTTAATCATGGCTAATCCTGCTCATGTTGATGCTCCATCTCAAACGACTGAAGATGCTTCTTCCCAATCCATTATGAAAATTCAAAGTACCAACTATCAAGTATAGGGTGATGTTTCTGTGTACCCTCAGGCACTGCAAATGTTGATCATAGCTTTAAAGCACTATGTTTTATCTACTGCGATGTTCAACTCATTCGATGTTCCACTATCCTGATATCACTAGCAGGATCGATCGTAACCTACAGTAAAGCTCTAGATGTGATTACATTCAACTTGGTGAGTGACAAGAACGTTCGTCTTACTAAGAAGTTATTCTATCAAATTCTTGATATTCTTAATTCTCCACCATATTATGTTCTTATAGATGCTCAAGTCATCCACATGTTCAACGAGATGGGTCATCAACCCCCACTTACCAAGATCAGTGAGTTCAAGAAATCAGGTCTTCCTAGTCTTAGGAGTTTTCTCTTCGGTATCTTTCTTTAATGTCTTATAGGTCGGAGTGTTGGATTGGAGAAAGGAAGGATGGAAGTCTATGCCATGGTTGCTGGTATTTACTATGATCTTGTTATGGATTATTTGACTCAAATGTTGAAAGAGTTTCTGAAGAGTGTCAAAAATCAAATGTTGTACAAGGGGTTTCATGTGCAAGGTACTGGAGCTTAATTTTTTGATATATGTATGAAAAAGAAGGGATTGAGGAGCCTTCTGATGAACAGAAGGTTGAGTTTTTGAAGTATAACTTCTCACGGGCGATTGAGGATGATGAAGAGATGTTTCATCATGTTACAAGAATTCCCGACGCAATGCTCAAGCCTATTGATCCAACGAATTTAGTGTTAATGGAGTATTTGATTTCGATTAATCTGAATGTCGAAACTGGTGTTTTGTAGGCCAAACCAGATGAAGATTCTTCAAAGAAATCTCACAGATCTAAGAAGGATGATAAGTCTACAACTGAGTAAACTGTGAACGAACCTGCAGTCAAGAAATCTCCAAAGAAACAACCCGAGGTGGTGGTGTAAGTTTCGAAAACTGTTACAAGGCCTGTTGAAACTGAAGTTTTCGAACCACTTACCGAATCTATTCCTTCGAAATCTGGTGTACTCAAAAGTCTAAAGATGAAAGCTCGTGGATCACGAAAGTCTCCAAAACGGTCTTCGAGATTTTCTCCATCTTTCACACGCAAGCCTCATGTCACTTGAAAAGGGGTTATTGTTCGAGAAGTTCAAGCCCCAGTTTCTCCTTTATCAAAGAAAAGAAGAGCTACAGAGATGGCCAAGCATATTTCTAAGAAAATCAAAAAGAAAAAGCTGGTTCTTCAAAAGGTATCATCATAAGAAGAAGTTCTTGAAACTCTTGAAGCTATTCTTTCAGCACATACTTCAACTCCTGAGTAGACTCCGGTCATACCACCCGAGGTTTCATTAACCAAGTCCTCTCATGAGGAGGTTCGAACTTCAGACATTATTACACACGTATCTAATACGAATGTAAATGTCACTATGGGTGAAGGAGATTCGACTAAAATTGTTCCATTATCACCATTTATCATTCCTACAATTCTAGTCTCATCTTTACAAACTTTTGATCAAATCATCAACCAACCCATCACTTTGTTTTTCTCTTCACAATCTACTGATCCACCTAAATCCCTCAATGATACTAAGATTGATGATGGGGGCTTTGGAGGTACTTTTGCTGATATCGAATTTGATCCAGAAGAAGAAGACATTCCAGATCATATGTTAATGTCAGGGAAGCAATTCAAGATTTTAAACAAGAAGCTTAATTACATACTTCAATCTCAAGCAGATGCAAGGGGAATGAACTCTGTGTCAAGTATCGAACTTGATGTGATGCTAAAAGAACAAGAAGCTCGATTGTTTAAAAAAGTCATTGGCTTTATTCAAGACTTTGAATCTCAAATTCGTGAGAAGGTGGATATTAATGATAAAAATAATGAGTTAAGAGTAAAGTCACAATCTTTGACTTTTAATGAGGAAATCAGGGATCTTCAATGAGTTGCCAAAGAATGTCATGTGTTATTTGTACAAGATGTTAAAAAGGTTCGTGAAGACATGAATTTTAAAATTCAAGAAATTTGCGAAGATATGTCCAAAGAGATTGTTGTTATGCAACGTGACTATGCATCTCTCAATCAAAAAATGGACATTATTGCAGATGCGGTGAGAAAATTTGTCAAGTTTTATGAAGCTTTGACTCCTCAGATTGCTCAAATGTCTACTCATGAAGTTCACAGCTTAAATGAAATCCTAACTTTGTTGAATGAATTAAAAGCATTAATCTCGAAGCCTGGATCATCTCCTCTGATCACACCAGAATTTTTATCACAAAAATTTCTTTTGTTTGAATTAGTTCTTCATAAACAATTGGCACCATTGTCTCGAATTGTCAGTCTCCTACCAACGAATGGCCCGCCTGTTGTTACAGGGGTGCAAGGTGGAGAATAGGTGAAGGTTGGTAAAGAAGAAGGTGCATCTGGTGTGATAAATGAAGAAGCGAAGGTAGTTAGCAAGGTGTATAGAACCCAAATTCCGACATCAAAACCAACTGTGTCGAAATTTAAGTCGGTAAGTTCAATTGTTGTTACTACAAGGCCAATTACGAAAGGCATTGTAATTGGTTCAGTTGGTGAAGGAGGAAGTGGGTTGAAACCTAAGGAAACTCCTTTAAATCAAGATAGAGGGAAAAAGATTCTTGTTGAGAAATCCAAAGAAGAAAGAAAGGCTGAGATTGAGGCAGAAATGGATAAACAAAGACATATTGCAAGCATCCTAAGGCTTCGACAAAATGATCCTCCACATTTGAATAAGGGAGATCCAAGGAAGATGCACAGTTATGAGAATATCGAAGCCAAAGTATCTTTTAATGATATGTATGAATTTAAGAAAAGGCCCAGGAAAAGTTATGCTATTGAGAATTCGGATCTGAATCAACTTGATTTTCCCATCAATGAAATGTTGTTTCTTATTGCACAATACAAGGTGGTGGATAGATTCAAGAAGAAGGTGGATTTTATACACATGAAATTAAGGTTTCATGCTGTCTTGAGAAAAGATCAGGAGGATGTTTGGTTGTTAGTGAAAATTACTCAAGTGCTCAGCATTTCGAAAGGTGAACTCTTTGAAAATATGGTACAAAATTTTCTATATCATGTAGTAGGGGCGAACAAGATTCCTTTTAAGTTTTCTATTGCTGATTTCCCATTGATGAACTTGAATGACTTGATTCAAGTGGCATACATACACAAAGACATAGATGCATCAAAACTTCAAAATACCAGCAAAAAGGAGTTAAATATGGGATTTGGTCACATCAAATTGTTTATAGACAATTATTAAGATTGTTTAACATTGACCAATGTTGAGTTGGCAGCTTCGATAGGTAAAGAAGTAACAGTTCCACAAGAAAAGGTTTTAAGTGAAGTTGCATTGAAGAAATATGTAGATGGTGAAATTTGTTTGAAGCCATTCGGGTTAATTTTTGCTGGAAAGGGTAAGAAGGGAAAGTCATCAAAGTATTTTTTACAAACAAGTTGTAGCACCTGGTTCCTGGTATGTAAATCTTGATTGAGTATTTTTCCTTTTTAAGCCTTGGACTCGGCGCATCATAGGTCCGACTCGCCGAGTAGGGATGGGACCCGGGACATGTTTAAGTTGGCGACTCGGCGAGTCCATATCCTAGACTCGGCGAGTCATCGTCGTTGGATGAAACCCTAAGTTTCAGGGGTTTGCACCCTATTTAATCCCCCTTTCCGCCCCCAAGCTAGCCCCCATTCACCCTAAGAGCCATATACCTCGTTCTATGATTTGTTTTGTGCATTTGAAGCCATTTGGTGTGTCCTCTTGGAGATTGGAGTGTGTAGGGAAGGAGATCAAGAAGAAGAAGAGGAGGTCAAGCACTTGGGAACAATTTCTGAGTGATATCTAAGGTATGGCTCGTTTTCTCCCTTATCTCCTTGCTTATGGCCCCATTAAAGTCCATCATGGCTCATTTCCAAGCTTGTATGTGCATAATATTTCGAAATCAGTTGATTGGTCCCTAGATCCAAGCATAGTTGAGCTCCAGGAGCTCAGATCCACTACCTTTATGAGCCCATATTGTATATAAATCTTAGATCTACTCTTTTGGTGCATTTTGAACCCTAAAAACCCCATAGATGGATATCTACACGTAAAGTTGGAAACTTTACGTGTTATTCATGCTCTAGGAGCCCATATCTACGAATGACATGGATTGGATTCGAGCAAAATCGCATTTTTAGCTCTTGCATGGAGTGCACTCGGCGAGTCGCTCATCTGACTCGGCGAGTCCAGTCGCGAGTCTCCGGGTTTGTCGCCTTTTTGTTATGTCGAGTCGTGTGGTGAGTCCAGGAGGGACTCGATGAGTTGGAAGCCAAAACTCACCCATAGTGGAACTCGGCGAGTCGATGCCCAGACTCGACGAGTTCAAGGCAATCTCCTTAGATCAAGATCAGACTCGGCGAGTTGTTCATACAACTCGGCGAGTCACAGTATAACTTGTTCATCGGATGAAGATGAACTCGGCGAGTTGTTCATACAACTCGGCGAGTGGGATGAAGGACTTGAACATCAGATTGGAAGGAGAACTTTATCGAGTAGACGCCTAACTCGACGAGTTGAAACAGAATTCAGGTCAGTCGTTTGGACATGGACTCGGCGAGTTGGTGAGCCAACTCGGCGAGTCGGGTCAACTGGAAGTTGACTATGACTTTGACTTAGGGTATGATTGGGGGTAAAATGGTCATTTTACCCAAAGGTCAGTTAGCAGTTTTTGACTAAGTGTTTGGTGGGAATACAGCCGGAGGATTTCCGGAACAGCAGCAGTAGCAGTCAGACTATTCCCACGAAGATCAGCAGCTACTCCGAGGTGAGTTACCTTCCAGTGGCGGTGGGTCTAAGGCTACAATGCCGGCCCACCAGTAGGAGATGTATGATTAGATGATTGTCTCTGTGATATTTTATCTAGGGTTGCTACTACCTGTGTTATGTTTATGTGGTTGTATGATATGTGACATATGTGCTATGTGGTAGTAATAGGGGGTGAAAGAGTCCTCGATACCCGATCGAGAGGACCAAAGGGGGGCCAACACCCAGATATGCTAGGCGGAATCCGGTCGAGAGGACCGAAGGCGAGGCCAGCACCCAGATATGCTAGGCAGTATTCGGTCGAAAGGACCGAAGGGGTAGGTCGAGCACCCACATATGCCTGACAATTTATGTATGTTATGTGATGGTATGGTTTGTGGTACAATGGGGGAACTCACTAAGCTTTGTGCTTACAGTTTACAGTTTTGGTTTCAGGTACCTCTTCATCAAAGGGGAAGGAGCTGGCTCGGTAGCGGCACATCATGCACACACATTGGGTTCCGCATTTATTAGATTTCCTTCGGATTTATACTCTAATGTTTCGATTGGTTGTATGACTTGACTTTTAAACACGGTTATGTTTTGATGTAGTTTGGTCAAACAATGTTTTTATCTATTAAGATTTTCTAAAGTAATGTTTTAAAAACAAAATTTTTACGTGAAAAAAAATGGGTCGTTACAAGTTGGTATCAGAGCCCTAGTTTGAGGGATTCGGACACACCTTCGGGGGTGTTTGGACTCAAATCGAGGGATTAAAAGATTTTGGAAAGAGAAAATGTTTTCTAAAAGGGTTAAGTAAAGGGTTTTAAGAAAGAATAATGTGTGTGATGTGCGCAACCGGCCAAGCTCAAGTAAGTATTCCCCAATGTACCCATACAAGTTTATTTATGTTTATCAGTTTCTGTAGAACAGCATGCTAGAATAGGACTAAGGATCTAGGAGGGATGCCTTATGTGCCTGCTTTATGTGCTTAAGTGTATGAAAGAGCTGCATGCTAGAGCTGAGTAGACAGCAGTAGGGTATCCTGTTTAGGTTATTCTTGATAGTATGAGTTTAGCATGGTATGCTAGTTCAGTTTTCTCTTCGAGGATAGAGTTGCTTGAGATTGTTTTCTTACGTCCAAATGTTGTTTGCTTCGTGATATGTGGGCCTTGAAGTGATGGAAGTTAACTGTTAGGTGAACACGTTTAAGTCACATGGGATCAGGGTTGAATAATCTCTGAGTGTTGGATTTGACTCTATTGCGTAGCTCTTGTTTGAGTCTTAATCGTTGTAGAGATGAGTCCCTTACTCGAAGGATTATCCGAGCCTCAGCACATTTGATTGTATTCAGGTAATAGTTAATTGGCATCACCAAGAGGCCTTCAGCAGCTGAGGGCTGGGTTGGGTGGAGTTAGAAGTTTCCTAGGGTAAGCCTAGGATAATGAGTAGCAGTGATCAGCAGTAGGGGAAAAGACCTGGTCGAGTCGAGGCGGTCTTTGGGGAAGGTACGGATAGATGTGGAAGGTAGTATGGGCTCGTACTACTAGAAGCAGAGGATCCGTACCCGAACCAAGGGAGGCTAAGATAAGACTAGGGAACTAGTAGTGGGTGGGCTCCCTCCAGGGGTATCAGTATCGCTAACAATTGTTATTTCTTTGTATTTCAGAATGGTGGTACTACGCCCGAGAGCAGCAGTTGGCAGTTCAAGAGAGGGATCAGGTTTGGGATCAGGATCTGAGCCAGTAGATGATATGCTACGCGAGTTTATCGCATCAGTGATCACCAGAGGTATCCTTGAGTCGACCCCCATTATCTTCGGGTCGATCAAGGAAGGGATCATCGAGCTGATAGAGGATCGCCTTGCGGCGTTCAGGAGCGACATGACATCTGGCCAGTCGGGATCTCGTACGCTGTCCTTTAAGGACTTCAGGGGAAGCGGTGCATCGGATTTCCACGAAGTGAAGGACCCCATTGTTGTCAGGAGGTGGATTGCAGACATCGAGTCTGCGCAGTTGACTAGCTTCTGCCCAGAGGGGTCGAAGGTGAGGTATGCAGCAGGGTGTTTACGAGACCGAGCTCGAGATTGGTGGGAGTCAGTGGGTGATTCTTAGGAGCATCAGGTATTGAGGCTATAACCTGGTCGTACTTTGTGACCAGGTTTAGGGCAGAGTTTGCGCTGGCTGTCGAGCTTCAGCAGCTGGCCAGGGAGTTTTTGGATATGAGGTAGACGACTGAGACTGTGGTGGAAATCACTGCCAAATTCCGGGAGAGGGCTTTGTTGGTGCCCCAGTATGCAAGTGATGAGTATATGAGGAGGACCCGTTATCACGATATGCTTCGGGCTGACATCCGAGAGCATGTTAGTTTTTCAGCTTGCCCCACCTTGGACTCCATGATTGCCAGGGAAAGGGAGAGGGAGATAGATTTGGAGCACATCCAGAAACGGAAAGCAGAGGAGGGGAAGCCAGGAGGGGCTTCAGGGAAAAAGACCAAGGGATCAGATGTGGGGACAAAAGGCCAACAGGGATGGGGCCGCTGCAGGAAATGCGGCAAGATGCACGAGGGGGCGTGTAGGTTGG